AGAGGGCGTCAAGCTGATTCTGAAACTTGCATGAGAAGAATATTGGGATAACGATAATATCGAGGCAACTTAACATTTTGATCGTTTTTTTCTTTCACTTAGTTATGTGGAGATATTATTTGAACCAAATCCCGAATTTTTTGTTTATTAAAATTTTCTCTTCAACAATTAGATTCTTTTGTTCATAGGCAAAGTTACAACCATATATGGTAATTAAGGACAATTTCTTGAAAAAAGGTATGCCAATTACCAATAAAACTTACAATGATCTATCATCGTTACATTAAATTCTTAATTTATTCGATCTCTTTCACAACCTGGAGTCTTCCAACAATTGTGAAAGCCAAACAGGAGCATTCTACAAACAACTCCAGGAAAGCTATGAAAAATTTAACAAATTTCACAGCAATCTGTTTTCAGGGACTAATGCACCTACAGACACATTATTTTTGTGGTTAATGCCTGATTTTTCAGGTAGTAAGATATCATTTCTAGACTAAACAACGTGATTTAAAAGGGTAGGTAGGCAGTAATATTGTCATATTAATTAATATATTATGTTATACGGGTTCTAAAACCTGATCTTTTTTTATAATTCTACAGATGTCAATATCTTTTGTTAATATGCAAATGGAACTTCGATGTAAAAATTGTGCAACTTTTGAAGTAGAGTGCATCACTTTTGTCAATATGTAAATAGAATATGCAAATAGTACTCTCATGTATGTTAAAACTGTGCAACTTTTCAATGATGCCTTTGTATCTTTTTCGCAATTTTGTATCATAACAAAGTTAATTGTGATTTGTGAATGATGATTTCAAGTTTTACAGTATTGGGCCTGTGCAGAGGCGGATGTAGTATATTATGTACGGGTTCAACTGAACCCATAACTTTCGACGCGGAGTAAAAATTTATATGTAAAAATTTATTAAAATTGCAAAAATAGTAGATCTCAACCCATAACTTTAAAAATATAATGGGTTCAATTTTAAAAAATTTAAAATTGAACCCATAAGAATTAAATTCTGGATCCGCATCTGGGTCTGTGCTATACACGGGCACTAACCATCTAGTACTCAATAGAGAAACTGAGTGGAAGTGCCAAAAATACCTAGGAATTAAGCTACAGGGACTAACAAAGATTCTAAACACTAACAGCATAACGTACTATAACAGGTTAATTACCGTTTTTATCCAATTACATCTAATGTTTATCACATAATTCTATGTGTACCTGATTGTATAACTAATGTACCTGTAATTACCTCGTAAGTGACATGAATGTATCACTGACATAAAACTTAATCCGAAACCTAGCACAGAAAAACAAGATCCAATGTCTAGACTATATTCTAGAAGCTATGAGAAAGACGAGCCAGTATCAAATTCATCCACCTTTTCAGTTGAATTTGCTTAAACGTGCATGTTCCGATTTTGGTTTGATTCCTCCGTGAACTATTTTTGTCATAATCAGATGATTTCTGGTATGGCTGTCCAATGGGGCGGGACGGGACGGGATAAAATTAACGGGACGGGACGGGACGAGATGGGACGAGACGGGACGACATTTAGCTGGGGCGGTGGCGGGACGAGACGAAACGATACGAAACGGTAGGCCCATCTCGTCCCGCTAACAAACGGGACGAGACGGGACGGGATGGACGGTAGACCCATCCCGTCCCGCTAACAAATGGGATGGGACGGAATGGGACGGGACAGGACGGGTTCGCGGGCCTCAAGTGTCGTTTTAAAAAAAAATTATTTAAGCATTGAGTTTGGCAACGGCTATTCTTTTAACAATAACTAAGTTTTTAAAGTTTGCAACAGCTAGTTTTTTGACTTATTTAATAAACTTAAAAATTAAACGGAAATTAGAAAACTAAGTAAAGAATTATAAATTATTAAAACAAAGGACTTGTAATGAAATATTCTAGTAATTATAAATTTATAATAGAGTTATAATTTATTTAATATAACTTCAAGCCATTAAGTAACTAAGTAAGAGTGTAAGACAATTCATAAAAAAACATTCAACGCTTAGAGCCTTTTATTTTAGTAATAGAACTTTCAAATCTCACATACAAATATAATTCTTTTGAAGAGCACCTAATTTACGCAGCCACCTTCTAGGAAGGGTTCTGTTTGAACTAGGCCTCTTAGTAGCCAATTATAAATTCTCATACTAATATTTGTAAGCTCTTATATAACTTCGTTGTAACTTATCTATAATTTCTCTCGGACATTGTTCTGGAATTGGCAATGTTGATTAATATTCCATGAGTTCCATGTTGTCATAGCTCTCAATGCTAAGTATCTCATTGTATTCTTCTTCTTCCCTAGTTTCACCACTTGTTATTTCCATAGATTTATATTTATCAAATATTGATCTAACATAATAATATATGTTAGCTTGGCAGTCGAGAGATGATTGTTCATTTTCTTGAATTGCTAAATTCTCATAAATTTTACGAACAAGTCCATTTGCACCTCTTAATTTTAAAGATGGGTTAAGTATAATAGAAATTAAATAAACTTGGGGAATAGGGAAAAAATACTTTTTAAATTTTGCAATTATTTCATTAATGGCCGGTGCATAAGTTGGATTAATTTTGCAATCATTTCATTAAGCTAGTTGTTGCAGTTGTATTAGCACTTAGCAGAAGCATTATCTAAGGTGATAGCTAAAACTTTATCAATAAATCCATAAAAATCAACAATTTGTAGAACAGTAGTTGCAATATATGCTCCAGTGTGTTTTGAATCAACAAATTTATAACCAAAAATACGTTTTTGCATGTTCCAGTGATGATCAACCCAATGACATGTGACAGTTAAATAATCACAACCATTAGGACTACGACCTATATCAGATGGGATACACTTTACAATCTAAGTGAAAATACACAACGAATATACTGAAGATATTCAGTTTGAAATTTAAAAATATCATTTCTAACCGTGGTCTTAGAAAAATCTTGAAAAGCAGGATTATAAGTTTCTTGTATATAATGCACAAAAAAAAAATAGGACGCAAGACAGGCGAGCGGGACAGGACAAAATGGCCATCCCGTGTCCCGTTTAACATGGGACCATCTCGTTTAGAATTAAGTGGGACGGGACGGCCCGTCCCGTTGGACAGCCTTAATTTCTGGTAGTGAAATAAACCTGAAAGAATTCTACTATAATTTACAATCACTATATCCCCTATTCAAAACTACAAAAATAAGGTTAGCAAATTGTTATGAACTGACTGGGAAGTTTTCTTCAGGCGGCTTTCGCCATAAATAATTAGCAGCTTCAATCCATCTTGGATGGACCAAAAATTTCTCCTCCTTCACCGCCCAACGCGATTTGTCAGTTCCAGCATCCATGGAGACCACATGTGTCACCGATTGATCGACTTCTGTGGAGCATGTGGCTCCTAATTGCTCAGCCAATTTCCACAAGTGGTGATTTTCTGCTTGGAATTGTGTAGGAAACACCCGGGTGAAGACGATTTTACAACCCTTCAATATTTCCTTCCGAACTTGTTTCAGCACCTGTAAAAATGCCAACTAATTCTTATTAGACTACACCAGTGTCCCTAAATAAATTCTCTAGACACAAGACTGAGACGGGTTTAAATGGAGCGACATGGACAATTAGGATTCATATAGCCAACCCCAATTTGCTTGAAATTGCTTAGCTGTTAAATTCTCTGAAACATAAGTGATGACGTAGTCTCGCGCCTTGTTGAGGGCCAAAAACGCTCCAATACCCAATTACAAGTGATATTAATCAGAAGCGATTGTTACACTTTAAGATATACGATCTATGATCTTACAACTTCAACTTTCTTTAAAGAACCGAGATCAGCAGAACATGGTATTCTTTCACTTCTTTTTCCCTGGACTGCCCCCAACCTCCACCTCTTTTGGGAAGGGAGGGGGAAGAGCAGAGGTGGGTATTTTCAGGATTTGAAGGTCCCCCATAAGCTCAGTACTCCTTGTTATGGTTTCCAAATTCAGGCATCATAAGCTACATTAAGTTATTGGTAATCAGCAAAAGACGAATTATATCAAAGTTCACTCAGGACCAAATGTTAACCTTTCATGGGAAATAGGTATTGCACATAAGTCAGCAATATATTAGGTCAGTGTTACTTTCACAGACTGCAATACAGCCAATACTTGTAGGCAATATGTAGAAACAACTAAGCAAGCAAGCCTCAAACCACCTTAGGCAGCAGAAAGGAAGCTTTCGAGTAAAGTAATGAATCTATGGTGATAAACCACAAAATGGACACAAATCACTCAATAAGTATTTATTCAAGAGGTGTACACACGATGTTGAACCAATGCATACCGAGAATCTGACATGCAAAATACATTCCCTCCTCCGTCGCAATTAAATGCAATCTACTTTGACTAGCACCGTAAACCCCATAGGAAAACAACTTTATGGCAATTAGAATCATGTTGGGAGCTCCAACGTAATTTTCTATGACATTTGGCAAACAAAATCACATCCATGCTTAGGCTATTAGAACAGGACTTTTAGAGTTTGGAACAAAAACTATGTTCCCTAAAACAAACTTTCTTCACCTCACAAACTTAGTAATTCAATTTTCATTGCCGAATGCATAAATTCACATTAGTCGGAATCTGTTTTATCACAAATCTTCTAAAATTCATGCTTCCTTAATCAACTTTGCAATCACTTACTAAGCGTAAAATTTTNTAAGAAAAAAAAACCTCAACAATGGAAGGCAGCTACAATCAAAAGTAAAAAAATTAGCAAGTGTTACCCCCTTCGAGCCAAATATAGATGTCCCATTACATGATTACTTAGGTAAGAACTGAAGTTTTTTTGTATTCAAACGAAGTGGGTCCGTAATTGTAGAATTAGTTTTGAAGTATGAACGTTTTCTAGCATAAAGTTTGGTTTCCTTAAAATAAAAGAACTATTTAATTATGTTATGGTTCGTTAAAATAAACTGGACAGATTTTGAGACTACTCAAACAGAAAGTATGAGTTAATTTTGGGGGAGGAATAGCAAAAAACATACCGGGTCGAAGAACAGAGTGTGGATCTGTTGCAGTACTTTTAAAACAGAGGCAAGCGCTCCCTCAGCTTCATTTTCATCACTTTTCGTTTCAGAAAGTGATTTACATTTTAAACCAAATTGTCGACAACTTGAGGTAAAGAAATGATATCGCTCCATCAGTATTAGGTTCTCCTTGTGCTTTCCCCATACCTAAAACAACACAGGTTTCAGTTCCCCCAAAAATCAACTCATTTCTCTAATTAAAAATTAGAATTTAGAAAAATATGGAACTAGATAATAGTCTTCGCTCAAATGAGATTACTCAGAGAACTTTAGACACAGAGCAGGTCTTACAGAGATTCATGCAGTTTACAAGTTTAAGATAGTCATACAATACAAACATAAACATTTAACTCAAACTAGGAGAACTCAAACCAACTATCGGCAACATCAAGAAAAAGTATCCATAAATAAAACACAAGAAAAATAACTAAGACTTTGATCAAATAGGGAATAATAAACAACGGAAATTGTTCTACAGTTCTAGACGCAAAAGGTTTATAATAATAAGTCTGAATTAAAAGAGTTTCTGGGAGCAGAAGATTACAGTAAACTACTGCTTTTATGAATTTCAGCACAAACGGACCCCATTTTCAAAAAAAAAAATCAGCACTTGCATTTGGGAACATAAATGGGAGTTAAAGAAAAAACAATTGATGACAGCTATTAGTACAACTATGGTTCATAGAGAACTGACTAAAATATGAAGATATATAATGAACATGTAGAAACAAGAAACTGGTTTGTAGATATTAATCAGTTCCAAGGAGTATCTGACAAGAGATACAATGGAAAGCAAGTGGAGCAGAAACTTGTACATAATTATTAATTGCAGGCAGCCCCTTCAGGGACGTACAATAGTGTTGAAATGATAGAACTCAGCACAAGGATAACACACAAAGTGAGAAACCGTCCAATTTATTAATTGCAGGCAAGAGCAGCAAATTGTTTCATTCCATTATTCAAAACTTGCTTTGAGTACGTCAACAGCAACTCCTGCATTTTCTCCACCCCCAGCAAAGTGCCAGTAAAAAATGCTAATCAAATGTAACTTGAACATGCTTAACAATCATTAAAAATGAGGGAACTACAAATGTGAACGCATGGCACAAACACGAACAAAGAACCGTAGATAACAATCAGGCTCAACGAAGTTCCATGCAGATAAGTTAAACTCCAAAAACAAATCTGAACTGTCAGAATAGCAATACATAAAAATGGAAAGCTGTCATGGAATTAGGGTGGCGGGAACTTAAATTTAATCCAATTAACTCTCCCTTTGTATGTATGTACGTGATAAGCCTTCAATGGTATTAGCATTCTTTTTCTTTGAGAAGGAAAATTACTATATGGAATAAGAACTATCTCAATGGTATTAGCATTCTCCTAACCACCAAAGAAATTCTTTCATTCTTCGTGGAGGAACATGATACTCCTAGAGAATTGCTTACCGCTTCAGTATCATCAAGGATCAGGACAGCACTTTCTTGACCCACAACAACATCGAGACCCTTTTGATGCCTCTGGGTGCAGTCTCCTTGAGCAATCACTCTAGAATGGAAGTAGATACCTCCAGGGTCAAGTAAGTTTGCCATTTCCAATGCATAAGGACGTTCACCCATTGTGTAAATGTACATCTCGAATAAACTACTGGCTTCTTTCAGGAAGGTGTGGACAAATGGCCTCAACTTTGTCATCATGTGTATCCAATCCAATTTGAAAAGGTTGCTTCTCAAAGCATCTGTACATCACAAGTTGGCAAAAACATCATAAAACAGTGCACGACAGATACCTGCAAAATAACTATCACAACCAAACAACAAGAATAAAAGCAAAAGAAGTCCTTACCATAAAAGAGGTCTAAGCAAACTAGCATAAGAAAAGACAAAACTTAAAAGTACACGACGACAAAGATTACCACAAAGAATTAACCACAAACTTAAAAGTGCAGGTCGGTATGTGAAGTTACATATTCCATGCACCAAGCAAGAAAATAAAAATATGTGTGGGACCTACTAATGTCAAAAAATCTTCTATTTCTCTCCAAACAGAGACACCTCAGTACACATTCAGGAATTATGTCCAGTACTAAATTGCTCCGACAAACAACTGCCTCCAGGCCAGAAGAAATCTAACATATTGTAACATCATGAACTAGATGCACCCTAATTGCTCGTATAAATGGCTAAAGCACAGATGCATCTAGTCAAGTGAATGAGCTAAAGTCTTCTCAGCTATCTTGTGCAAACTGCACCAACACACAAAACCTCATCTCTCTAATAATGACCCACTAGATTGGACTTTAATTTAATCACTTCTGATAGGGTATGATATATATCAAAGAGTAATATAGTCACAGAGACACATACCTGCTATCAGATCCCTTTCAAACCTTGGAGATCAAGTTAAAGGAATAAGATGCTAGTAGTAGATTGAGGATAGATGACAGAAATTAGTGCAGTAAATCAGTTCAGAGGGACAACTACTAACTCCAATAACCCAGATTTTCTTAACTATGTAGTTTACATTACCTCGTATTTTCTGTATAGCTTCCTTCTCTATCTAGTTCATTAAACTAGTAGTCACATAACATACACATACCATAAAATCCCATTCAAGCTACATCGTAGAGATCCTAGCAGTACTTCACCTCACCGCTGCATGTTTCCGTCCAACTACCAAATCCCTAACAGATTTCAGGCTAGGAGACCTAGGCAGTACCTGTATAACCTGTTGGACAACATTTTCTTATTTTGCTTTCCTAGCTTCCATGTAAGAGTAAAACAGATTTTTCATCACTTTCAAGAGCAAGATATAAGCATCGAAATTATAAAGCCACTAGCACATAACCAGTAAGAGTTGCATACCAGGCAGTACTTCTCGTTGGTCTTTCAAGTATAATTCTTCTGCTGAAATATCTGCAAGTCTAGTTGAGTTCAGAAGTGTATGGTCTAAATCAAGAACCAAGTACAGCTTTTTATGGCGTAATAAGTTCTTCAGGTCCTTGTCACGCAATCGAGCAATTTCATCATCTGCAAGCCTCAAATTCTGCAAAATTAATTATAGAATCCAGTAAAGATGTAGAAAGTTTACTAGAAATAGCTGTCCCCAGCACATCATATAGTGCCTTCCATTCCTCTCAACCCTCCCCACACCCAACCCACAAGAAAAGAACATATGTATATACAAGTGTATTTTAGTGACTACTGAATCATGAAGAATAACCTTGTGTATGTATCCAAAAGCTACACCCGATTCATTTTCCACCGTCTGCCCACACCGTATACACATCCCTCCCATGACACCAGGATGTGAGCATATATCCAGAGATGCTCCTGCAAACAGGGACATTTCAGGTTTATCACACAACCCCACACATACTTTACGCTGGAGGAGCACGTCGATGACTGGAAAGGAAAGAGTCAAAGAACTTATAACTAAATGCAAGTAGCTGCAGCCTATTAATTAATTTCATCCTACAAATTATTTCTTTCCCTATTGCTTGATCTTTTGTCAGGGAAACTAATTTGCCATTTTCTAGTCCCTCCCCAAAGAATGAAAGCTCAAAGAAGCATCATCGTTCTAGTGTCAAGGAAGCCATAGCTGTCATCTATATGGAAAAGGCATAACCTAAGTTTTAAAGAACTGAAGACCAGCCTACCATCTGATACTTATCCTTGTCAGAATTCGGCAACTAAGGTTTTAATAAGATGATCAGAAGATATAATTAAGCAAAGAAGACTACAGAAGCCCATAATGATCCAGTTGTAGTATAATCAGACTGTATTTACTTCAGGCCAATGAACATTTTCTAATAGGTAAGGTCAATAATATCCACAAAAAGAAGTGAGTTCGTGGAGAAGAATATACAAAAGTACGAAAGGATTCTTCGCTGTTAGCTGTGTGGCAGCTGACAAAATCAATCAAGTTTTCCATGCCACGTAAATCATTTAAACAAAATATTCAAAAGCTGAAGACAAGCATATTTCAAGGTGCATAGAGGCTGTTTATTTCCTTCAAAGCATTGACTGCTCCTCTCTCTCCAACCATGGGACATACAAAGGAATAGCATTCTACAACTCTGTTAACTTTCTGTTTGATAAGAGTTTCCCTCACCTTCCAGTCTTTTCAAGTTTTCTATGTCATGTAAAACATTTAAACCAAATAACCAAAAGATGAAGACAATCCTAATTCAAGCTGCATAGAGGCTCTTTATTTCCTTCAAAGCATTCACTGTTCCTCTCTCCAACCCATGGGACATCTAGAGGAAATGAGGAATAGCATTTCACAATTTTCTGTTGTTCCTTAGAGTTGTCCTCCCCTTCCAACTACATAAAATTTCTTCCAAGTGATAGGCATCTATTGAAGAACCTCAACAAGATAGAAACATGTACCAAATCTCTAATTCTACAAAATGCAAAAAAAATGATTTTAAGTTTCCATCCCTTTTACACACATATAGCAATCACTCAATTAACTAGAGGTCCAACTCACTTTTTAATACAGTATAAGAGCAAATGAGGACTTCTTTGGATCTAGAGGTTCTGTAAAACTTACACTTCTACACGCATATACAAGACTACAACCAACACTTAACCTAGTGTAAGTGCAATGATAACGACTAGGCATTAACCCCACTCATAGTTATCGCCTATGTGCCTATGTGGATACTTTACTTCGTTCATCTCTAACCTTAGCTAAGTTACAATGATGCTAAGAGATTGTAAATCTTGAGACAACTTCTCTACACGAGATTTTAGGTCTACTTTACCCCTTTATATCCCCGTCAATCAACATACTGTCACACATACAAGCTAGTGCATTTATAAGTCTATGTACAATACAGACAAACCATCTCAGGAGACCTTCTCTATCAGAGATTTCCAAACCATTTTTCAGGGCCATGAAATGGTATTATTAAAATATTATACGCTCGAATAAAAGCTCAAACTCGAAATTATTATGAGCTCATTTGAATTTCAAGGCAGGCTTGCACTTGAGCTCGAGTGTTGATCCATAATCAAAGCTCGTGCTTTGTTTGAAGCTCATTTTGCATTTAGAGTCAAGCACCAGCAGTAAAACAAGACTGAGCTTGGCTCAAGTCTACCTCTAGACCTAAGTAGGTGACATGAATTAAAATAAATTATTGTAAGATGTTATAATATCTCTACAACAACACCAGAACATCAAATCATTCAACTCGATCTTGATAAAATGCTAAACAGATCTACAGAGTGACCTGAAGTTTCTGCTGGTTCTCCGCGAGATGCTGAACTCATTGGATAAACTGCAGCTTCCAAAACCTCTGCTTTGCGCTTGTTTATCCTATGATAATCAAAATAGACATCAATGAGGAAATGTAACGTGTAGTTTTAAGCATAAAAAATCAAACCGCAATGTTAAACTTTAAAAAGTAATAGTAAATTTAGCAATAATAAGATTTCCAATTTCAGCAGAACTAACAGTAGTTGGTGAAAATCAGCACAACCCTTCTGTAATTTGCTTCTTCTATCCGCGCTCTTTTTCATGTTTAACTCAAAAGCCTATCTTAGATGAAGTAACAAATCCAAGCTTCACACAGAATGTTATAATACCTGCTAGAATCTGAGCCAACATCATCATGATCATCACCATCGCCACCGTCTTCATCTTGCTCTTCCTCATCTTCCACCTCCTCCTCTCCCTCTGCTTCTTCATTTTCTACTTCGTCTTGGTCAGGTGATACATCAGAAGCAGAGTCCAACTCTGTATCGAGAAATGCTGCAAAATCATCGCTGCTTGATGAGTGCACCGGAGAATCTGCTGCCAGACTCATCTGGCATGCCAACCATGAGTTATATAAGAATCATGCTACATCATAAGGCACAAAGTTGATACACCAACATCTTCTCACTATCGTGTCAAAAACCCAAAACAATAACCAATAGCTTTAAACAATTTCAATTCACATATGGACTGCAACTTTGCAATTACTCACACACACACACAATGAGGATATCAGTAAGGCATAAAGCTCAATCGCATTGCAAAATTGAACAGAGCAACCCACATAAAACATACTTAATGAGTAATTATTAGTTTATAATTCAGTAAAGTATTCAAAAAATGCCACCTGATTTTATCAAGTTCAATTTTCAAATCTCAGTTTTGTCAGATAGATATCTATACAACTCATTCACCTCTATGTAGCCCTAATTCTCATTATTATAAGCCTTCGCTAAAGCCCCAAACAACCCAGCAAGAACAAGAACAACAACAACAACAACAACAAAAAACCCAGTGAAATCCCACAAGTGGGGCAACAACCCAGCAATAATTGTACATAATATTTGTCACACCTCCTTTTTCCGAAGAATATGGAGTTTTTCCAATTAAAGTGACATTAATCGAAATGGGATTATTTATTCAATTAGAGTCGCCACTTGGGATAATTATTATGGTGTCCCAAGTCACCGGTTTATTTTAAAATCCCAAATCAAAGAAACTGACTCTATTTTTGGTCCGCGAACACAGAAGACCGAGTAAGGAATTCGGTTAACCCGGGAGAACGTGAGAGGCACTCCCGAGTTCCGTAGTTTTAGCACGGTCGCTCAACTATTAATAATTGGCCTAACTATCTGAATTATTACATGTTTAAAACCTATTGTGCACTTTTACTTTCTAACTGTTTTTTAATTATTTGACCACTTTTAGTATTTATGGGATTTATTTGAACAAGTCGCGATGTAGCTCACTTGTTTGTTTTTGTACATATTGCGAATCGCGCCACGTGAAACGCACCCGCGACTTACAACATGTTTATTTTTATTATTATTTGAAGTTATGGTCGAGTCGCGTGAAACGCGCACTCGAATTGGGATTTATGTATCATGACTATTATACGGGAACCGTACCCATAGTCACGATGATTTATAATTAATCACGCCTAAAGCAAAACTATAAATGTTTATAAGTTGTTTCCCTAAACTACTTCGAGATTTGTTGTGAGGCAATGAATTATGGGTAACAAATTCATGTGAAAAGAATGTAGTAAATTAGTCATAAAAAAAGGGGAGTTAGCTCTTGATTCTTCTTAGGCCGGGTTAAACTCTTCGGCCCAAATCCTTAGCTCAAAATTGTTTCATGACTCATTTACAATTGAACCCAATTGAATCACATACAACAGATTATTCTTCAAACTTAAAACTAATATTTTAACATGCTACTTTGAGATAAAACGGCATAATCACATGAGTAAGCAATTTGCTAGCTAAACCAGTAAGGAAGCTCAACAACTAAATGAAACAAATTGTAAGAAAACATACTTTATTCACACAAATTTCACAAAGAACAGAGGCATGTAATCATAAGTATAGAATTACACCAAACACCTTTGTCACTATTTTAAACCCAAACAATAGATCCAATACAGTGATGGACAAATTTGCAAAGTCATTAGCATTAAAATCATGAGCTTCTCTTTCCCTAACATCTATGTACGTCTATGTTGCATATCCTAATCTAATGAAGGCATGATAACAGATTAAATTTGGAATTAACACATACAAAAGTCTCATACATTAGCTCACGGAATATGATCCACAGTAACAAATCAAGTGACATCAGAAGCTAATAAATATGGTCATGATCTCATAACAAATCAAATATGGGCATACAAGTCGAAATACATACCTAGCTGTGCGAGAATTGACTAGAAACGCCAAATAAAGGCTAGACAAAAAGGGCCAAATGAAGCTCAACAAGACAGCAATAGCAACGGCAGCAGTCCACGGCAAATCAGCCTTCAGAAGCTTTAAAATCCAAAAAATAGTTCCCAAAATCTCGTTCTCGGGTCTCTGTTCTCTAGTTTTTTTAAAAAAAAAAAAATCGGAATTTCAACTTCTACTCAGTGAAAGCGTGGGAGTGAGGTTCAGATTAGGGTTGCTTTTGTTAGAGAGGAGGGAGAGGCGAGGAAACGACGTAATTTCGGTGCCAAGCTACGTCGTTTTGGGTAGTGAATAAGGGAACCGGACCGGGCATTGGACTAGGCTGGAGGATGTGGCGCTTTTGGGGCGATTGGGCCGCCTGAAGCTGCCCAATTTCGAGATTTAAAGGAACCAACCCCATTATTCTTTAATTGAATTTCACACTTGTCCCAAATTAAAGCTAAATGAAACTATTTTGCGAAAATGACCTAATTAGCAATTTAAACTAACTTACATTAAAATTGAATTAATTACTAGCATGTCAAAGAAATAAGCTACCATAATTTATTTTTTATGATTTTTATGATTTAAAACACTTCTAAATATGCATGAACAATTTGAATTAAAGCAAAACAAAATAAAAGAAAACCTCCTAAAATTTATAAAACAATTAAAATTATTTTTGGAGTATTTTTAGGAGTAATTTCCTATGTGGGCAAAGGTACCACTAACACACAAAAAATAGCAAAATCAGATTGATTGTTCATATTTTTTCGAAGTATATGGGATACCCACATTAAACTTTATGCCAAAGGTAAAAAAGCTAGAAACAGAAAGTGGAGTTCACATAGATGGAGAGAGACGGAACCTGAAATCATGGCCGGCGAGATTTTACCGACGGAAAAAGGGTTTTTGGCGTTTATATTATTTGTATGTACGAAGAGCTTTTCAACTTCAGATGAAAATTGAAAGTTAAAGACAAAAATACGTTTGCTATAAGATTTAAGGCTGATCTGATTTTATTTTATTGTTTGTAATAAGAATGATCAGATTTATATAAGAGAAATAATTTTATTACGTAGATAAAAAGTTTAGGCATAATTTCATAGAGCTCCTCAAGTTTTATTTCTATAGTACTAATATACCTTTTAGTTTACAATATTATATTTACTTCTTTTGTTTTGATTTTTGTAAAAAAAAATTAATTTATTTAACATTAATGTAAGAAAAATAAATTTTGGCTAATTTTTCCTTACAGATTATACTATTTGTTTAATTAATTTTGTAAACTATCTTTTAGTTGTATTCTTTCTCAGGAATTATAAAGCTAATTACTTACTTCAAGTCACCAAAGTCTTGAAATATTTCAAGCTAAAAAGGGTGTTGCTATTTCCCTAACTCTCTGAAGATTTATTTCCTAAGGGAGAGAAATACATAAATAAGCCAAAACTAGAACATAAACGAGAGTTAAATATCCCAACAACTAGATTTGGACCAAACGACAATAATGCAGTATATACCATCAAACTCCACAAAATAAGAATACCTAATTTGCAAAAGCAAAGACATGAAATTTGCAGAAAAATGTTTTAAGTAAACTCGCCTCGTCCTACTTAGATATCTATCTGACAAAACTGAGTGGTTTCTTCTAATTCTGTCCATACCATTTTATTTTGGCTAACGACTTGATTTTCTAGATGAAGAACGTAGCGAAATAGATGTTTGGTGTGAATTGCATAATTCCCTAAATTATAGTGTCTTTGAATGCAAGTTGTGCCTGGGCCGACAACACATATGCCATGGCGTCATGCATCATGAAGAAAAAACAAAAAAGGGCAATCAAATACACAAAGTATTTTGTATTTATGCAGGGTTCGGGAAGACCGTAGCCCAAGGGGTGTGATGTAGATAATCTATCTTAATACAAGCAAAAGTCGCTACTTTCACGGGTCGAATTCGTGACTTATAGGTCACATGAAGACAACTTTATCATTGTCTTATTTTCTGCTTAGCCAATGTTCGTTCACCACGTTCATGAAGGAAAAATAAATACTCCCTTCGGTGCATAATAAGTGATTTTTTTGCCTTTGGCACATCCATTAAGAAAATACTACCTCCTAGAGAAAAGAAGATATTTTGACTAAATTACATTTAACTAAAATTTGCATATTGTTAACCTGACACATCGGGATATGTAAATAAAAAGAATTTTTGAAAACATAAAGTGAATTGCCTCTTCGTTATATAAAAGGACTCTTATTTTGGACCAAAATAAAAAAAGGCAAAAAAATTACTTATTATGGACCGGATGGAGTAGTTGACAGTGTCTTTAAGCAGTAAAATGATTATCAAAAGGGGTGTTTACCTTCCTATATTATATATGAAACTTTATTACTCTCTCCACTCAAGTTTTAACTTAATTACATGGCCATATACAATTTATCAATTGTATACAAATTAGTTTTAAATGAGTATCTATTTATATTATGAATTGAATAAGTAATCAGTTATTTCTCATCCATGTTCTCTCTCTTGCGCTCTCTCTCTCTCTCTCTCTCTCTCTCTCTCTCTCTCTCTCTCTCTTTCGCTATCTCTCATTCTCTATTCTTTCCTCAATTTTTCTTACTTTGATATTCTCTACTTTTTATCATTTTATGTTGTATATATTTTTAATGGATTTCAATCATTTTACTATAGAGTTTTAACTTAGCAATTTCCTTTCATGTTGCATAATTGGTGTTCAAAATAAAATTGTCAATCAATAAATTTTGAAGGTGTTTGACTCTCCACCATTGACAGCCATTAAAAAACTTTGAAGCTTTAAATTTGAATTTAGGTTTTTAAAACTCATTATTTGTTTGGATTGGGTGTTGTTGCAAACAATTGAGAATATTGTTTGGAGTTTATATGTGATGACCCAAAAGGTTATATTTAAATTTAATAATTATTTATGTGTCCTAACACCTCGAAAAGTACTATTTATCATTTTTCGACTTGCGTGCGCAGTTCGTATAATTTTCCGAAAAGTTTTTATATGAAAAATTGATTAAAATGAGAAATAGAGCCTTAAAACTCAATTGAGTTGACTTTGGTCAATATTTTGAGCAAACGGACTCGGATCAGTATTTTGACAGTTCCAGTAGGTTCGTATCGTGATTTAGGACTTGGGCTTATGCCCAAAATTTAATTTGGAGGTCCCCACGTTAAATTATCAACAGTTGGCGAAAACTAGAAGCCTAAAGGCTTAAAGATTTTAAAGTTTGACCACAAATTGACTTTTATTGATATCGGGGTCGGATTTGAAACCTTAAAATTTTTATAGGTCCGTTATGTCATTTATGACTTGTGTGCAAAATTTGAGGTCAATCGGACTTGATTTGATAGGTTTCGGCATCGAATGTATAAGTTGGAAATTCTTAAGTCCCTTAAGCTTGAATTGTAGTATGATTTGTGGTTTTAGCATTGTTTGATGTGATTTTAGGTTTCGACTAAATTTGTATGATATTTTAGGACTTGATAGTGTATTTGGTTGAGGTCTCGGGGGCCTCGGGTGAGTTTCAGATGGTTAACGGGTTGAATTTTGGACTTGGAACTTTAATAGAATTTTTCTAATACGCTGTCTGGTTTCCTTCTTCGCGTTCGCGATAGAGGTCTCGCATTCGCGAAGAGGAACTGGAGGCAGACGAAAATTACTCTTCACGTTCGCGAATAGGGGACCGCATTCGCGAAGGGGTAGAGGGAAGTGTTCATCGCGAATGTGTGGGAGCATTCGCGTTCGCGTAGAAGGGCGAGGCCTGGCCGGGCACCAGGCGATAAGGCTTCGCATTCATGTAGGGGAGACCGCGTTCGCAAAGGCCAAGTTTGGCAAGGCATCGCGTTCGCGAAGAAGAAATCTGGGGCAACACAAAAATGTGTTTCGCGAACGCGAGGGTGCTATCGCGTTCGCGAAGAAGAAATTCCTGGACAGCAGAACTTAAGTTTTGGGAATGGGATTTCGTCCCATTTTTTATTATTCAAGATTTTGAGCTCGAGTAAGGCGATTTTTGGGCGATTTTTACGGGAAAATATTGGGGTAAGTGTTCCTTATCCTATATTGATTATATTTCATGATTCCATACTCATTTATATCATAAATCTGTGAATTTATGGAAGAAAAATTATATTTTTATAAAATCTTCCAAAACTGTAAAATAAAGATTTGAAAGCTAATCCGATGTTCGGAATTCGATAATTTTTTGTATGGTTGAACTCGTATCGGAACGGGTGCTCGAATTTCGTGAGTTTTTCCTAGATTCGATGTCACGACCCAAACCGATGGGTCGCGACGGGCACCCGGTACTTTACTCAACCGAGTACCAACATAACGTATCTTTTATATCATTCCATCATAGGTAAATGAACCAGGGTAAAGCATGAGGTAATAAACTTATACATATGACATACTGTCCTATAAGACCCAAAACGATCGCTCGTACACTGAACATAGGCCGACAAGGCCATACAACCTTTCATATATATGACATCTGTTTATAAGCCTCTAAGAATACATAATTTTCATAAAGGTCGAGACAGAGCCCCGCCATACCAAACAATACACATCTAAGGTATACTGACCAAACAAGCAACTCCGGAGCAAATGGAGTGCACCAGCATCTTCCGCTGAGCTGATCGCCTACTTGGAGGATTCTCGACCCGTCTATCAAGACCTACGGGCATGAAACACAGTGTCCCCAGGCAAAAGGGACGTCGGTACAAATAATGTACCGAGTATGTAAGGAATAAAAATCAGTAAATAATAGACATGAGAGAAATATGGAGTAAAAGACTCGACATGTACGTCTGCAAAGCTCTGTGAATCATTTCATTTTTATAATGCCATGCATATGCGTATAAATGTCATACCATGCATAGGTATATGTGTTCATAATATCATCAAGCCTCTGAGGGCATCCCATCACATCATTTCGGCCACTGTGGGCAAATCATCAACGTATACCAGTTGATCAGGTGGTGGTGCGTATATAACGCCGTAACCTTTTCCCATATCCCATATACATATATATACGAGTATATAACGCCATCTGGTCATGGGTCAATGTACATGTATAAATGTATGAAATGCATAAGAAATACGTTAATACGATTTTCTCATAATGTCATAAAAAGAATATGCATGTCGGATAAATTTTATCAAATACGTATTTTTCTAAGACCCATAAACAGAAGATA